AAAAACTCATCGGTAACGAAGAGGGGGGTAGGGGGGGGGGGGGGAATTTTTCACGGGAAAAATTTTCCCCCTGGGGAAACCAGATTCCATATACTTGCACATCTGAGGCAGACCAGTTGTCTAACAAACCTTTGTCTTTGTGACTTATTTAACTTTACCTGCCTTCTACGTCCTTACAGAGATATTCCATTCATACTAGATCACGGGGGATACATGTAGTTGGCGACAACTGCCCGTTTCTAGTTAAATATTGTCATTATTAGCTCCTGATATATATGTATAGAGTAGCACGGCGCTAGGGTAATGGCCAACACTGTGGCATGTGCACGTAGGCGTGTGAGCAACAGCAACTGGGCACACAGCTGTCGACAGCCCCCTGACAAGCCGAGACTCCAGTACTGACAATTCAGTGGGAGAGAGGGTAGACATCACCAGGGGTTGTTACTTAGTAGGCGTACACTGAACACATCTGGTTGTTGGTTAAAATCCACTGTAAGGAACTTGGATTAAGATGGCACAGGTCCTTGAGCCCCATTTCAATGGTTTTAAAATGACACTTTTTTCTTGTCTTAATCATTTCTGATAATACCTAAAACATTTATTCTGTCTAATAACAGGAGCTTTGTTAACAGTTAAGGTTAACCATAGATGAATTACAGCTAGTAAATCTCACCTACGTTAAGTTCAATGACTGAAATAACACACACTCTTCATAACTTAAGGATGCTCTCCACCTTTTGCACAGGTATTGCTTTAATAAAGATTAAACGTTTATTGGCGAATGAATCGAATCAATCACTTGTTTTATTTATAGAGGAGATATATCTCTATGCTCAAGCCAAAAAAATGCATGAAATTTCCAGCACCTAATTATGTTACCACACAAATTTTGAATTCTTATGTAAAAATAGTATTTTGGAAAAATTACCAGAAAGAGTGAGGATACAAAATTTTCGCCACATATTAAGCACAATATGGACCAAAATAGTATGTCAGGATTTTTCTTTAATTTTCATATTTACTGAGAAAACTGGAAAAAACTGCTTAAAAATCAAGTTGTGTGTTAGAATTGAAAATTTTAGCGAATAAAGAAGCATAACTAATAAAATACGGCACTTAATAACAATCCCTGACGCACTACTTTACCACAATATGTTACCATTAAAACGAGTGTAAAATTAAATTAATCCGAGTTGTAATCACAGAGAAATATCCATTTATACATCGGCTACTATGTCAGAAATCGAAACGGAGAAATCAGGGTTTTTCTATTTTTCACAATGAGTGACTGACTGCCTGTGTGCGAAATGGGTGAACGTATGTGAAATATCTACTGTTAGTACTTACTGCGACATATCCATGACTAACTGACACCACTAAATTGGTAAAATGTTCCATGCACCTTGAGAAATTCTGAGAAATTACGAGGTTACCATCGCAGAACGCGCGAACTCCGCTCATCCTGACGTCACAAAGCTAATAATATTATGTCAACAAACGCGGGCCTTGTACCACGCACTACAGGAAGGTGTGTTGCGAGGTGTTAGAACTATTTCTGGGCGTGGGATATTTGTTGGATCACTAGCAGATGTACATGAATGTACATGAATACATGAAATGACAGCTGTAGCAGTGTTGTCACTGAATGATGACGTCAGCAGCTGCCTACTACACATGTATGCGGGCAGTCAAATCGCTCTGACAGTTCGTATGTACCGTTATATGAAGAAATGAGCATGTACGAAGGTGGCACATAGTGTTAGCCATCGAATAAAATTGAAAATGAAAAATCGGTAATTTTGCCTAAAACCTTGAGAGTAGCTTACTTACCATGGTACCACCACCGAGTTTTCTTGGGATTTTTGCTACAGGTCTTAACATAAAATGTGTTATCAGGTGGGCGCTTCTGTAATGAGAAAAACAACATATTATATTTAACCACATTGGCAAATAATGCCACACAATGCATTTATTGTTATCAATAAAAATTTCGAGTGCATGCTGATTTCCTGTATCACCTATTGCAAAAGAGTAACATCAGGCTTCATCATTAGTAACACGCTACATGATGTAATATTAAAACAATACTTTAGTACACACAGAAAACAATAGTACACACTACATAATGTAAGCTCACAGCTATACTGCCTCCAGACTTAAAGCTATTAGAGCTTATAACGAATTATTCAATTAGCTTTTTACCTACACGTTCTGTAACCCTCGTAGGCTCCCCAAAATGCTTTTATTTTAATATGCGAGGCTCAGTGTGGAATTTGCCAATAAGTTCCGACATAATGGCTTAACACCAAACAAAGGAAACGTCTTGACATCTCAACCACGGTACATACCGTTAGTTTGTTTTCTCATTTGACGTTGCAAATAGGAAATGGGTTTCTGACCTATTTCCTATTTTTAATGTGAAAATAGAAAATAGGAAATGGGTTTCTGACCTATTTCCTATTTTTAAAATGAAAATAGAAAATAGGAAATGGGTTTCTGATCTGTTTCCTATTTTAAAAGTCTAAATAGGAAATGGGAAATGGGTTTCTGATCTGTTTCCTATTTTAAAAGTCTAAATAGGAAATGGGTATCTAACCCATTTCCTATTTTTAAGCTAAAAATCGAAAATTAGAAATAGGTTTCTGATCCGTTTCCTACTAGGCGATTTTAATGCGATCTAATCGGGTGACTTTATCGCCCGATAGTCGCCGGCGAATGAGTCGGGCGACTGAGAGTGGACACACTAGGCGAATATCAGCACGATTCATCGGCGATTTTTCTCCCGCTGCAACACTAAAACACTTGCGCCACCTAGATTGATAGTCACATGATTGAAAATGGCACCGTTTGATTGGCTGATGAATTGTACAATCGGGCGACTCATTCGCCGACCCGGACACACTAGGCGATTGAGTCGCGTGACTAAATCGGGTAGTGCATGTCGTAAGGAATAATACGATCAGTCGCGACTATTATACGCTCTACAGCTACAGGAAACTATAACTATAAGACTTGCTATAACTTGTGCCTGTATAATTATGTGTATGTGTATATGTATTATGTATGTGTATATGTATATGTATGTGTATGTGTGGGTGTGTGTGTATGTGTATATGTGTATATGTGTAGACAGGCCCGTTGGAAGGAATTTTAAAGTGGTACGTAACGGTTTCAGTGGCGGTCTGGGGGTGAAAACCCCAGCGGAGTTCGAAGGGGCAGACAGGGTGACCAGATTTTAGAAATTTGATTATGGGACAGGAAACGATGTGAGGGAGCGGAGCGATCGAGCGGGGGAGGGTGGGGGTTGCACACGCACGCACGCACGTGTACGTGCACACGCACGCACGCACGTGTACGTGCACACGCACGCACGCACGTGTACGTGCACATGCATGCACGCACGCATGCACGTGTACCTACACACACACGCACGTACGCACGCACGTGTACGTGCACACACACGGACGCACGCACGCATGCACGCACGTGTACGTGCACACGCACGCACGCACGCACGTGTACGTGCACACACACGGACGCACGCACGCATGCACGCACGTGTATGTATACACGCACGCACGCACGCACGTGTACGTGCACACGCACGCACGCACGTGTACGTGCACACGCACGCACGCACGTGTACGTGCACACGCACGCACGCACGTGTACCTGCACACGCGCGCACGCACGTGTACGTGCACATGCACGCACGGACGCACGCACGCACGTGTACGTGCACACGCACGCACGCACACATGCACGCACATGTACGCACTCACGCATGCACGCACGTGTACGTGCACACGCACGCACGCACGAACGTGTACCTGCGCACGCGCGCACGCACGTACGTGTACTTGCACACGCACGCACACACTCATGCACGCACGTGTACGTGCACATGCACGCACGCACACATGCACGCACATGTACGCACTCACGCACGCACGCACAAACGCACGTGTACGTACACACGTACGCACGCACGCATACGTGCACACGCACGCACACACGCACACACGTTTACATACACACGCACGCACGCATGCATAATAAATCGGTAATAATCGCTATCGGGTGTTGTCGTGTAGACGCTACATAATCACTAACTCGAGTTAAGGTTCGTCGTGTAGACGAGGCTAATGTCCTTGACTTGACTTTCTAAACAACTGGCAACAGCCGGGCTAATGCCTGTAACTGTAAGGGTGACAATTATGCATTATTATTATGCATAATATCAGGAGTGAGATGATATAGATCATTATCTAGTAGACTGACCCGCTACCACCTGCTCACACCACCACCACCACCACCACCACCAGTCTGCTAGATATTGATATTATGACTCTCCCCAACCTGCAATTAGTATAGGCAGGAGACGAAAACTTCATGCATAAACATGGTTGGCACTCTACACTGATGCGTTACTGCTGGTGGCTTATATGTTTGCCGACAATGACGTATCGATGACGGACATACTGACATAACCGAGCCTAATCACCTCGTGAAGCCCAGCAGGTAGAGAGAAAGGAGTACAGCCGCGATAGGGTGGCAGAGAATATTGGGCCAGAGCTACGGGAAGCTGACAAGTTCCAATCTTGTCTCATTGACCAAGGCGACATTATAGGTAAATACCTTAGTACATACACGTCTCAATATGTCATAGAATGTCATTACCATTGCACATGTTGGTCATAAGTAGTCGAGAGCCTTCGTACCTATACTTCTTTCAAGACATTATGTACCAACTGCCGTTAGTATTGCATGCAAATATGAACGATTGGTTAGCCATGTTTCATAAGCCACAAACATTGATATAAGCTACATAATTGTACTCATATAGAATCAACCACATTGTAGTTTTACAGGTAGAATGTGAAGCACTAGGCGTAAGATAAGGCGAATCAAATTCTGTAACAGAATTTTCCCCGCTGTTGATTTTGCTAGTGACACTAGAACCAATTATTAAGAATCTTAAGGTTGGACTACGGAAGCAACATTCACATTTCCACCTCATTACTCCACACATGCACGCACGCCCGCACGCACGCACACACGCACGCATGCACACACGCACACACACACACACACACTTAGAGGTTTTGTACAAATATACTGCATGCAGCATGATATCTCTATCTTCAAGTCGATACACTTTCTACTCAAAGCAGAGTGAGCAGCTAAATTCAGGATTTACAAAATTCACTTGTTATCCGAAACAAATGAACATGTAAACACACCACCATGGCGCACAGCTGATAAGAGATGTATATTTTTGTTAGTATTTTTCGCGAAATGACACTATATATAGGGACAGTGATTTTCCGCGGTCGCGGAAAACGAACAGAAAACATGGAAACGGAAAAGATGTTTTCAAATGGAAAAAACGCAGAAAACGTAATTTGAACATATTACAACATGGAAATTTCAATAAAATCACAAAAAAAACGTCGACAATTATAGCATTGCTGCATTGGTAATGATATGGTTTACATTTAGACAAGTTTCAGAGCAAAATGACTTACAATTACGACTTTTCGTAGCCCTGTGTTTCGGTGCCAACCCAACTGTCAGTCTGTGGCCAAATACCTTTTTTTTCATGCAAATATATGTAAACAGAATTTTGCATTTTTGGCATGTACAATCTCTATGGCAAAACGGAATTTCCATTTTTTCTTTACTTTTAAAGGTAATTCATAATTTTTCCAAATGAAAAAGGCAATTTTTTTAATCGGAAAATCACTGTCCCTATATATATATGCAGCTTTCTCCGCGGGAGACTGCTTGTAATGGATACAACAGCAGCAGCTGCCGCATCGACAGATCCATGGGCTCTCGATAGGATGGCATCAGGTTTAACACCGAACGATGACGTCTTGTACATGTTGTAGCAGGCTACTCAACTAGGAAACTAAATGACGTCCCAAGCACCTGACAACAGCCACAGAAATGGTGTTGATATAAGAATAATAATGCTCCCTCCCCCCTACCCACGAATACCTAGACTTCCTCCCCCTCCTCACGAATACCTGATGGACTCCCTCCCCCTTTCCCACAAACAGCTGACACCCCTCTCCCCCTCTACAAGTAGCTACCCGCACTCACCTTCTCCTTGCAGCTGCTAAGCATGCTGACAATGCTAAGGCAGACTGACTCAACTGAGAGAGCTGGTGACCAGTCCTCTGTGAGAATGGACAGACATATGTGGCCATTACTGTAGACGTGTGGGTGCACAGGAATGTTCGTGCCCGTAAATACAACCTGTAGCAGTGCAAACATTCCATATTTACACACCAACAAACACACGAGAAATATAAACATAGATCATTGTATTCTATGGCTATTTATTGAGTGAGGTGGAGTGTCAGAAGAGTAACAATAACAGGAGTGGATAATAGAGACCTCTACTAGAGATAATAGAGCTCTATTATAGAGGTCTATTATAGAGGTCTATTATAGGTCTATTATAGGTCTATTATATGTCTATTATAGAGGTCTATTATAGGTCTATTATAGGTCTATTATAGAGGTCTATTAAAGATATCTATTATAGAGGTCTATAATTGGTCTATTATAGGTCTATTAGAGATCTATTAGAGATATTATAGGTCTATTAGAGATCTATTAGAGATCTATTATAGGTCTATTATAGAGGTCTATTACAGAGGTCTATAATTGGTCTATTATAGGTCTATTATAGAGGTATATTATAGGTCTATTATAGGTCTATTATAGAGATATATTATAGAGGTCTATTATAGGTCTATTACAGAGGTCTATTATAGGTCTATTAGAGATCTATTATAGGTCTATTATATGTCTATTATAGAGGTCTATTATAGGTCTATTATAGAGATCTATTATAGAGGTCTATAATTGGTCTATTATAAAGGTCTATTATAGATCTATTACAGAGATCTATTATAGGTCTATTATAGCCGTCTATTATAGAGGTCTATTATAGGTCTATTCCAGAGATCTATTATAGAGGTCTATAATAGAGATCTCTATTATCCACTCCTGATAATAATAATGTACACTCTGTGCTTATCCAGCTTACTATCACTTCAAAAACTATTTATTTTCCAAAATCACATAGACCTTAATTCATATACCATTCTCCAGACATGCTAGGAAAGTTTGTAGCTTATAATTTAAAGGGGTGACTATTGGGTGAAATTTTTGTTATTGTGATAGTATTGCGATAATTAAGATACTATTGCCAATACTATTTCTTTCATTGAAAAACTTGCGATACCATAACGATACTATTTTGTATTATGAATTTGCGTATTATATCATTATAACACCTGTATGTTCGTATGTATGTAATTGTATGTACATACAAACTTGTTTACATTATTTACTAGACTAGTAACATGTGGGTTCACTCACACACTCGAGAATAGCAAGTGACCTAGTTTTAAAAGTGCATAATGCATAGATTCCCATAGACCAGTCAAGTTACTTAAATTAATAAAGGAAGTGTTAGTAATGGTTTTCAGGAATATTCACATGCGAAAACATATCACTAGTGGTGAATAAAGTAACATGCAATTTTAATGTTGCAATATTGAAAACTACAGATTGTTAAAAATAAATTATCCGCAATGCTATTGATGTATTACTATGACACCCGTGCATTGCTATTGAGCAAAACACTATTGCATTTAATCGGTATATATCCTAAAACTGCTACTTATTCATAAACGGCTGTTACAGCTGGAATAAGTGAAAACAGCTGTAACAAAACATTCTACATTAATCTAACAACACTCCCTACTTTTACTTAAGCACACATGCATGGACCCAACTATGTTAGCAGACACGCACACACACGCGCGCGCGCGCGCGCGCGCACACACACACACACACACACACACACACACACACACACACACACACACACACACACACACACACACACACACACACACACACACACACACACACACACACACACACACACACACACACACACACACACACACACCTATGCACTACTACTTATGATCTCATTATCAACAAATAATATATAATGTAAATCATTCCCAATCATACCTCGGGTGAGTCAAATGGATATCTGTTGGTAAATTTAAACAATAGTTGAAATTTTTCGCCTTCATATAGAGTTCCGGTTGCTCCTTCCATTTCTACATACCACCTAAACAAAGGTGGATAAAACCAAAATCAGCTATGAGAAATTTTAAACGACTCAAAAACGACCAAGATTAACTCTTATGTTAGCTTAAATTCCTCATCAAAATCCACATTATTTTCTTCAAACTTTAACATCAGTCTTCATATCTATTTAACAGATGCAACAATTATTGCATATGTACAGTATGTAGTAATCTTGAATGGAGTTCAACAGTAACATAGACAGCAGTGGCATGTGTTGCAAGCTGGCCACACTATAACAAAATCATGTCAGTGTCTATGATTTTTAGAAGTAATGGAGTAAGACAACTTTGGGTGTTGAGTGTGCATGATTGGTAACCCCATTTTGTAGTCACATCATAGATCTCAGCTACCAAACACAAGTCTGGTATAGAGTAATGCCACATTTAACAGGTTAGGCATAAACACTAAGGCTACAAAAACAGGTCAAACAAACCGTCACAAAATTGTTTAACTCTTCGATTAAATTCTAGCACTACTAGGCATACTTACGTAGTTAGACTTGATCCATGGTCACCGTTGACTTTAATTCCTACTGGTGGATTGAGCTGCAGTGTCATCAACTCTTTTTGCAGACGTTTCTAAACAAAAAGATAACTTGAAAAATGAAGATGTTGAAAAAAAATCATGAAAGTAGTAAATAACATATACACAACATGGCAATAACTTTAATACCACAGATATAGAATATACAAGTTTTCTACACTCTTGAAGCAGCATAGTGCTCTTGATATAGCATAGTACTATCCTGGTCCAAAGTCCTTTGAAACTCAATAGACACTGTTCCCTAAGTGGGCACAGTATTGTCTAGGACAGGGGTTCTTAACCTGTGGTCCAAGGACCCCTTTGGGGTCCGTGGATAGGCCTCAGGGGGTCCATGAACCAGGTGCATAAAAATGATTGCATTTATGTGCTTATGTACATTTTTCTGGAGATGGGTCCGTAGCTTTTACCAGATTCTCAAAGGGGTTCATGACTTAAAAAAGGTTAAGAAACACTGGTCTAGTATGAAATATCAAACAATGGAGAAAGTTGCTTGAACTACGTCATGAACAGATGTGTGTGTATAACAGGAAATTTGGCAAACAATAATACGATGATAAATAAACACAAATTTTATTACTACCAAAGTTCTAATGTTTTTGTACACGCCACAACCATGACGCACGCACACCAATGTGGACAAACTCACAAAAGATAGAGCAGGTGTGAGCGATAACCCTGCACACTGCTCGACTCGTTTCATATTTTCACAGGAGAAATTTGTAACCATAGGCCTCTATCCTGGTATCTGTGCATAGCCAAGTCGTCTCTTGTTTAAATTATCACTTTTGCATTTGTGTTGAACTTAGGGAATGTTTGTTTGGTCGGATCCACGGATCTCGATCCACTGGATCGAACCCTAACCCAAACAAACTCACTTTCAACGGTTCGCGTTTCGCTGTGACCTATCACGGGATGGTTCATAACAAAGAACAAGCTGTGATTGGCTGAGGCGTGGGCCGCCATATTGGATCCCCTTCAAATCCACCTCGCTAGCAGGGTCAGGTTCGGTGGATCGAGATCCGTGGATCCGACCAAACAAACAGTCAGATCCACGGATCCAGTGGATCCGACCAAACAAACATGCCCTTAATTTACACATAGAAACCCCGTAAAAGCCTGTAAAAAATCATTTTCTGTAGCACTATAAATAATGTGCTACCCAAGTTCAAGAGTGATATTTTGAACAAGTGAAACTTCGGCTATGCACAGATAATGAGTTGGAGGTGAGAGGTTGCGTATTTGTGCTGTGATAGTGTGAAACATGGTGAGCAGTCTGTGAATTTGACAATGACAGTCATGCTTTCCCACCTACTGTATCTTTTCTAAGTTTTGCAGTGGCTTGCGTGCGGCGAAATTGTGTGCTTTAGATGAGTATTTATATGGCATTTACATGGAATTATTAGGCAATATAAAGTATATATTAAAGAGTTAAAACTTGAGTAGTCAATCAAATTTGTATTTATTTACTATCTCTTTATAAGAAATACATGAATTAGAGAGAACAATGACTCACTCATGGCATATAACCTCAACATTATTTGCATGCCTTAGTTTAGCTGAAGGGGTCATTGTCGTATCAGGTACTACAGATATGTACCCGAGGTACATATATGTATACACAAAGTGTACCAGACTCGTACTACAGAAGTGTACCCTAACCATAACCCTAGCCCTAACCCTAAACATACCTTATATAAAATATAAACATTATACTAAACAACCTAAAACTACCTCGGGTACATATCTGTAGTACCTGATACAACAACGACCCCATCTGCCTTAGTTTATGTATAATACTAATAGACAGATTCCTGGATGGAGGCAAATAGTTATGTATGTAGGCGCTATACTAGTAGTCAGAGTCATGTCATGCATCAATGCATAGTACTGGTTAGTCCGAGCCGACGCAGACCCCAGTAATGGGGTCTGCGGCCGTGTCTATCGCAATGACGAAAAGCCACCTCCAGTTTGGAGGTGGCACTTATAAGTAATATATGCGCCCAATATATATACAATCCTATTGCGTGGAACTTACTTTAATCTGAACTTGAATCATTTATCTACGTGCATGCACGCTATGATCTCCTGGTAGCGGCCACAATATAAGAATATATCAAGTTGTTTACCTAATGGTAAATATAACCATCCAAAGAAAATAGTCTGTCTTCATTCACATTTGTCAACCAATGAACATCACTTCCGGTTACTTCGGCTATTCCCGATGTTCAGCAGGAAACATAGTTTACTAATTTGCTCAGATTTCAGAGTAAAGTCGAACTTCTTTTCCTCGGCAATATCGCCATAGAGTTGTTTTACCTTGTCAGCATCCATCGTGTACAGAGACGGCAGACTGACGCTGGTACAGACGCTGATAGGGTCTATGTCCCCCAGAGTACTGCCGGAACGTACCCTGGTACTAAATACTACTATATAATATGTCGGACCGTACCTGGCCTACTCCACTAACGAGTCTAGGGAGTCGCCTACGCCTACTCCCTAACCCTAACTCTAACCCTAACCATATCAGCTAGATAGTTACCAGGGTACGTTCCAATATACAGGACCGTACCCAGGGTACGTTCCGGCAGTACCGTGGGGGACATAGACCCTATGAGCTAAGCTGACAGAGATGTCAGCCTTAATTATTTCCGATTTTGAAAGCGATATTGACAAACAGAAGGTATGTACTTGATATTTTGGGTCACATATACCCCCGCCACGCCCTCAGTGCTACTCGATTCACCTATCCAATGCCCACAACAAAAATTGCAACAATTTTTACAAGGGTGACTGCAGCCGATAAACCCGCACCCTCAGATTAGCAAAGCAGAGTTATAACGTCTGCATTTGTGGACTAGGTACTGGTTACATGACCATTAGCAAAATTGGGCTCATACTCATAGGGTCTATATCCACCAGTGTACTACCGGAACGTACCCTGGGTACGGTCCGGTATACAGGAACGTACCCTAGCTGGTAACTATCTAGCTGATATGGTTAGGGTTAGGGTTAGAGTTAGGGTTAGGGAGTAGGCGTAGGCGACTCCCTAGACTCGTTAGTGGAGTAGGCGAGGTACGGTCCGGCATATTAGATAGTAGTATTTAGTACCAGGGTACGTTCCGGTATACCGGACCGTACCCAGGGTACGTTCCGGCAGTACCCTGGGGGACATAGATCCTATCAGCCATAATTGGCATTGGTCAGTGGTCTAAGACTAATGCTAATGGTAATGTAATGAGTAATGATGACATGTATTTTATCTACTCTAGTAATTGATAACTTATTTTTAAGATGAAATCACAACGTTAGGTATATCGTAAATGAATAACTATTTATAGACATAATGCATATTAATTTGACTATACAAGTTGTGTATTGGAACGATAACCGAGAAGGTGGATACGATTATATCTGTATACTATTAGTATTACTGATATAGAAATCAAACCTGAAACGCCATGACAGTTTTCTCTGTTTGTTTACAGAGTCGATGATTCAGTTACATGTAAATACAGTGTACCTTATATAGTTAATATAGCAGTAAATTAATATAACTTTTATTTTTTTAACTATGTGAATATTTATTAAGACAATGTAAAACATTTTATAAATGTACGGTATATATTGTTATAACTGATACTGTTCTTTCTCAATTTGCTCCTGAATACACAGCTAACTTTTCCCGTTCGGGAGGGAAGGAGAGGAAACAACAGCAAAGCGTTTTTGGTATTTTTTTCCGGCGAAATTCGTCACTAGAGAGTAGAGTGCACTCTTTTAGTTTCACATTATGCACGCACGCGGCACAGGCACTTGGAGCGTTTCAATAAAATATAATGCTAAATAAATACGAAATCTATTCACTACCAGTGTTTCTATACTCTCTTTCACCTGTACCGGTGTTATTCAATTGCCGACAATTTCCTGCAAATGCCGTCCAAATGGCAATGGCATTATGCTCATCTGCAACAAACGCTGGCTGCCGCTGGCGCTGCACACTGACACATAAATATATAGTTTTTGTGTATACATTTTTTTGTATAAACTATTCATTTATGTGTCAGTGTGGCCCGTAGAGTCTATGACTATGTCTCCCTGGGTACTGCCGGAACTTACCCTGGTACTAATTATTAGTACTAATACTATCTAATATGCCGGACCGTACCTCGCCTACTCCGTTAAAGAGTAGGGAGTCGCCTACGCCTACTCCCTATCCCTAACAGTGCTCGAAATAAGCGTTGTCCGGTTGTCCGAGACAACCAGAATTTGTGCCGGACAACCTAACCAGTCT